GAATAAATGGGATAAATAAATCAATGATGTTTATCAAGATATAAAGCTAAGTGTAAGAATAAAATTATAAAGCCCACATATGCAAGGAAAACACAAGTTATGAATAATGAGTGGATTAGTAAATTCATTTATACAATTGTATGAAATCATGAAGATTTGGTAGAAAAACGTATAAATGACATCGATTATTTTTAAATATGAGATATGATTATTAAAAGAAATAAATCAATATGGTCATTTTAAATAATGAGGCATGACCACTTAATCGAGTTATGTATAAAGTTTGATGATATTATGTGGTAAAAAAAAAATATTTTTGTTAGAAAAAATGGATTAGATTGATTGATAACCATGGTATATCAATAATTATTATTATAAAAAGGAAATGAATATTGTATTATATGTTTTGAATAGTACGATAAATGTTACAGACATATAGTTATAACTATAAACTAAAGAAGTCATTATTGATACAAGTAATCAATAAGGCTTATCTTGTAGGATAAGATTTTGAAGGCTTCATTGAACGATACCTTGACATAAAAGATGAAGACTTTTAGGGTGCATATACATATAAAGATAAATGAAGAGTACCTTTTAAAATAATAATTAAAAAAAAAGTAATTGTAAATATCATATAGTGAAAACATCCTCAAATAAAGAACATTGGTTTGGGGGATTACCATTGGGTTTGATAGAGATATGTATATACAAGGATTTATATTGATGTGTTTATTTAAAAAATCTCTCTTATGCTATAAAAGATTTAACCTCAAATCATTACCTGCATCAAAAAAAGAAAGCTTAGAAACATTAAATGTAGCAATAATAATATACACTCTACTAAAAGTTCCAACTTATATGTATTGTCACTAATTCATTCAAGGACTTGGAAATGATCATCCCTTCCATGCTGTAACTTAGATCATATATGGGCTGTAAATCTTTCCTTCCTCATATATATCCAAACCTAATCTCCAGGTTCAAAGATAACATATTTGTAGTCTTTGTTAGCTCTAGATATATATTGTTTATTTTTCTATTTGCTTATCATAAAATTTCTTCACCATTTCTATACCTTTTGTACTAACAATATAGCCAAGAAAAATAATTTTATCCATGCAAAAAATACATTTTTTTAACTTAGCATATAATTTTTCATTCCTGAAAACATCAAGCACACAACATAAATGTTTTATATGCTCTTATAAGCTTTTATTTTACACCAAGATATCATCAAAATAGACTACAATAAATGTGCTTATAAAAACATGCAATATATAATGAATCAATCTAATAAATATGCTTGATGCATTAGTGAGATCAAATGGCATAATCAACAACTTATATAGCTCATATTTAGTTTTAAAGATATTTTTCCATTCATCTCCTTCTTTATTATAATTTGATGATATCCATTTTTCAAATCAACTTTTATAAAGATATATGATCCAATTGTCATGTAGCCTAGAAATTGGATTCCTATAATTTCCATAATATTGTTAACAGCTCTACAATCAACAAACATCCTCCAAGACCTGTTATTCTTAAACACAAAAAGTACTAGAACTGTATATAGACTTATGCTCTCCTCCAAGTATCCCTTAGCCATCAGCTCCTTAAATTGCCCTTCAAGCTCCTTTTTCTCCTCCAGAATTCTTCTATATGCTGGTTGATTGAAAATTATAACTCAAATTTGCACTCATTAACTAAGATAATTTTTTGTATCCCACAAGTAAAATTGTTAATCAAAATAATATACAATGATTTAATGCTTTCAAATAATATATGATTAGTGTTGTGAATGTAAAATACCTTGTCAAAGTTTGTATTAGTCTTTGTCATTTATTTTCTTAATAAAATATCTAAGTTTTTTCATCATTAATTGTAGAAGACTTGTTCAAAAGGGATATTTTTAGAATGTCTTTTGAATTCTTGCTAAACGTTTTATAATAGACTCACCTTGTTGGGGTGGTGAATATTATTGTAAACTAGATTCATTTTTCAAAATTATTAGTATTCTTCATCACTTAATATACCCATTAACACATAAACAAAATGATATTATTGAGTGTCATCACCATCATATTGTCAAAACTAGTCTTACACTTCTTGGTCATTGTAAAACACCTCTAAAATTCTGGAATTATACGTTTGAAACCTCTATTTATCTCATTAATCGTATGTTGACACTTGTCTTATGAAACAAATCTCTTTTTGAATATTTATTTCATCAACTACTTGATTATACTTTTTTATGTATTTTTAAATGCCTATTCTTTTCTTCTTTTTGACCTTATAATGCTCATAAGTTAAACTATCGCTTCACTCTATGCATATTTCTAGGCTATAGTTCATCTCATTTCTATCATTATCTTAATTTGTCTTATAACCGTATCTATATCTCCTGTCATGTTTGATTTCATAAACAATCTTTTCCCTTTCTTAATTTTGCCATCAATTTTACATCCACTAGCCCTATCTTTTTGCCGGCCTTTTTCTCCCACCTCCCCTCCCTCGCTATCTTTCCATCGCTAAACTCATCAGCCCACAAACCTTTCCCATTAACCCCTTGGTTCCTTTACCACCACCTATATGTCTTTTGATCATTTTACAGGTATAGGTTTTGCGGTGCTAACCTTGTTTATGTTTGATTCCTCTCCTGTTACTATCTCTTCAGCCTAATCGTTGGGATTTTCCTCTCCACTCGAGCTATTTGCTTCATCTCCATCAAGCTTGGATCTATGTGTTGATCTCTCTAGTTATTCTTTTCCATCGCAGCACTCACATAGCAGGTCTTCTGCTCCCCTTGCATCATGACAACACCGCATGGTACTGCATCCCATACAACACAAGATTGTTAATATCAATTTTGGTATTTACTTCTTCATTACCTTTAGACTCACGGGTAACATCTCCCTCTAATCTTGAGCCTCTGAATTTTAAGAAAGTTGATCGTTATTTATGCCGACATACTGTCATAAAGTCTAAAATTACAGCCTTACATGCCAATTGTACTTAGTCTTTGGTACTATTTGAGCCCTTTATGAATGTGGTTAGCTATTAATAGATTTACAAAATCAAACGTCAAGTCAATGGTGCTATTGACCATTATAAGGTTCGCTTGGTTACGTGAGGGTTCACTCAACAGGAAGGCATTAGTTACTTAGAAACCTTCAGTCATGTTGTTAAACTGATTATTATTCGGTTAGTTCTCAATATTGCAGTATCTAAAGGATGACAAATTTGATAACTTGATGTCCATAATGCGTTTCTCAATTGCTCACTTAGAGAGGTTGTTTACATGAAATAACCCATGGGTTTTGTAGACTTTGCTCATGTATGTCCCCTCTACAAGTCTCTATATGGTTTAAAACAAACCCTATGAACTCGATACAGACGCCTAAATGATTTTCATCTGACTAGTTTTCAAACTTTCAAGGTTGTTACCTCCTTATTTATTATGATTGTGAATTGTGATATTTGTTATCTGCTTGTCTATGTTGATGACATCTTATTTACCGGTAATAACTCTACTTTGATTTAATATCTTATTACCTTACTGAGTTCAAAGTTTAAACTTCATGATCTGGACAATGCCTATTATTTTTTAGGGGTTAAAGTTACTCTCATCAATACGGGCCTCATGCTTAATCAACACAAGTATGTTCTTGATATCCTCTATCATGCTAGCATGTCATCGTGTAAATCTATTGATACATCAACCTCTACTTCCAAGGTCGATCTACTATCTAGTGAGTTGTTTTCAGATCTCACTCGCTTTTGACAAATTATTAGCACTCTTTAGTATCTTACTTTTACTAGACTAAACATATGATATGCAATAAACAAGGTATGTTAGTTTATGCATACTCATACTGAGAGCTATTAGGCTACCGTTAAATGTATACTGCATTACTTAAGGTATGTCTTTTGTTGGCCTCCACCTCCTTATGGCTCCTCTTTATCACTTCATGGTTTAACTGATTTGATGATCGCAAATCTATTGGTGGATGCATCATCTTTCTTGGCACCACTTCCATTTCATGAAAATTTGGCAAGCAATGCACTATTGCTCGCTTCTCCACTGAAGCAAAGTATAAGACTTTGGCTTCGCTATCTTCTGTTAGATTTATGTTTCTCTTCTAGTTCTGTTACTACTATATGGTGTGACAATTTGAGTGGTACTTATATGTTTAACAATCTAATTTTTTATGATCGTATAAAATATATTGAAATTGATTATTACTTTATTCATGATCGAGTGGCTGAAATGAAAATTTAGATTCGCTTTATCTCCTCCAAAAATCAATTAATTAATATTCTTACAAAGTCAATCCCTCACTCTACGTTTGTTTATTTACGATCCAAACTTCGTGTGAACAACTCACCTTCAGCTTGAAGGGTGTATTATGAAATGTGTTATAAAATAAAAAATATTATATTTTTCTTGTATAATTTTATCCTGTGTAATACACCATAACATATGTATATTGCCTTAATCATATAAATAGGAAAGATGACAACTAATTATTAGGAAAGATGACAACTAATTATGTAAGTCTCCTAATTAACACAAATACTACTTCAACTGTCACATACTTATATTTTTATTATTACTAATATTTATATATATATATATATATATATATATATATTTGAAGAGCAAAATTTTAATTAAAAAATCATTGTTTGAAAATCACTGGAATCCAATAAAGGTGGACTAGTAGTCTCCTCCCCACCATAGTTCCTCATTATTCCTCATTATTTAAATACTACTTAATACGAGAAAGTCTTGGAAAATTTGTATCTTTACCAAATACAACTGTACAAGTGGAAGGAGAAAGATGGTCAAATCTAGTAGCCAGCTAGTCAAGGTGCTCCCGTGAAAGAAGGTTGAGAAACCTTACATAGAAAAGATTAATATTTACGACTGTATTAGCTGTGTCACATGAGCTTTTTTCTCTTTATATTATGATATTGTTTTTCCTATAAATTATGGTCCAGTGTTGCTTAGCTAGCTAAAATTTTACGAATATGAAAACATCTATCATCGCATTTCTTCTCCTGCATACCATTTTGCTCCATCCTCTCATTGTTGCTCGACAGTTAATTGAATTTGGTGAGTGCATTTCTTTCCATTTGCTTGTGTTTCCAGTATTCAAGTTCTTGCATTTGATGCGGTGGGCAAGTTGATCATATTGCAGACGGAAAAAGTGGCGTCAGGCATGAAATTACTAACGTTGAGGGCAATGATGGGAGCAATGGCAGGATTTGGATGGCTCCAATGAGACGCTGCTTTGGCAGAATCGGCCGTGGATGCGTGCTGCCACCCCCATCACCACTGACTAATTGCGGAGCCAACCAGCGCTGCTACCCTCCACCAACAAATGATTAGCGCTGTAGTCTCGCAATGAAATTGTAATCAGCTGCTGGTGGAATTAATTTTGAAGTTTATCTAAAAAACTCATTTAGTTTTTCAAGTGCTCGTATAACGTATTAATATTATAATTATTCCAAGTCTTTTGCTACAAATTCAAGAATTTCTCACGAAATTGGCTTCAAATTAAGAGATCCTTTAATTCTCAAGAATGTGCTATTATAAAACATCATCAACTCATAAAACAACAAACGGCACATGGAAAACTGCAATTGAGCACTGTTGAAATCCTTAGTGCTCCGTGAAGAGGCTTTCAATGCCAAGTGAAATCCTTAGTGCTCCGTGGAGATTTAGTTTATTTTACTTATTGTGACTGAGAACCTTGAGAGTGTCTGTGGGCATCGAGATTTATTTACCTCTTGGCATATCTAATGTCTATCCAATAGAGTTAAGGCATTGTCTTTTTCCTTACATTGTCTGTCTTCGTCGTTCTTATATTGACTCGGAGTCAAGTCCGTACATCAACATTACTGTTTAATTTTTTTTACGAAAAAAAAGTGTTCCTCATGTACATAAAGAGTTGGGGCTAGCCTGATTACTTAAGTAATTTAAATTGGAAACACTCCCTTGCTTGTGGAGTACTCACATATTTTGACTAGTTAAGTAAAAAAAGAGATTTAAATTATTGATTCAACTGAATGTGGTAAATTTAACTAATTTAAATAATATAAATAAAGAAATAAACAATAATAAATAAACTAAGAACAAAAAGTACCAATGTAAGAAAAAACTCGATTTTAAGATTATCCATATAAAATAAATAAATTGATAAAGAATAGGGATGAAATTTTTTTACGACCTTGATTTTTTGGACTTCAAATCAAGTCCAAAAACCTGATAAAAACCTTTAGTTCTCAAGAATATGCATCTATTAAAGAACATCAACCGAGAGAAAATCACAAATAAGGATGCAATTGCAAAAAAAGAAAAATTAAGGTTAGCTTACAAAAGAAAATAGAGCACTATTGAGTGGTTCGTGAAGAGGGTTATTACCTTGCCAGACACCACAGTAAAAGTACATCGGAGATTCAGTTTTTTTATTTTATTTTTGTTAATATCACCAAGTCTATTTTACTTATTTCTTGATTGTTAATCTTGAGAAACATCGAGAATTATTTACTTCTTGGCATCTCCCCTACTGTCTTTCAAGGGTAATTATTTGAAGGCCCTTCTGCTCTGAGGGTCACTTTACGGGAGGTTGCGTTGTCTTTGTCGTTCCTCCATTGACTTGGAGTCAAGTCCATACATCAATAGTAATTCTTGTTTAATTTATTTATTTTTAAAATACTTTCAAATAATATAACAATCAGTGCTGTAAATGCAAAATATCTTAATTTGTTGCGGTTTGAATAATCATATTTGTCTTTTAGTTTTTGGCACCACAAGGAAAGAGAGGAAGGAATTTTCTTCGAAGGAACTGAAACGAAAGATACAGGTTTTGTCATCAATGGACTTGTTCAAAGGGTGTAGAATTTCTAGAAATCTTTTCCTAGGGTTAGGTTTTCGTATTATCCAAGAAGCATCTTTTGTTTCCTCCTCAAACCTCAAGATTCTCATCTCCTGACTTAGACGACAAGTGGAAGTTCGATTGTAAGTGTTGTAATTATCCAAGCTTTCCAGCCAACAACAACTTCGTAAATACAATAATATCCAAGGATGTTTTAGACAACCTCAATATCAGTATCTGTATTAAAAGTATTGGCTATAAATAAAGAGGGCATAGGAGAGGCAATGGCCATGTAAAACACAATATTTTTCAGTATGAAAGCCTTAGTGATAGCTATTCTTATAGCCACCATTGCCTTCTCTCCTTCATCCATGGCAGCTCGAGAATCGGTCGACTATGGTATGACCATCTTCTATCGGCTCGTATATATTATCATATTAATACCTTTAATAAGTCATTCATGTCTATGAAAGCTTATTTTTATAAAGATCTTGGTTTATTATCGTCAAACATGGACGGTCGTTTGATCATTATACCTAGATTTAATGGATTGACTTCGTCATTTAATTTTCACATTTTAAATCAACAATATCTGTATTGCAGATCCATCCTAATACTGTTATACAGATTGTAACGTGTTTAAACGTGCGTTGACGTTGCAGGAAAAGATAGCGTTACCGTCAATATCCCATCAACTGGCGATGTATCATCTAGAAGCCAGGCTCTTTACTACGCTCCACGAAGTGGCAGTGGATGTAGCATTTACCAACGAGATTGTCCTCCCAAGAAGAAAAAACGTTGTAAACCTTACAAGCGTGAATGCCATCGCCCTTGAAAATGAAAGAGTAGTTTGATTTGGGTCCATTATCTAGTGGTAAAAGCTGTGAGCTCAAAGCACAGGGCTATCTATAATTACTTTCATTTCCATTACCAATGTAATTATATCATTATTGGAAATTAAATAAAAGTTCCAAGAAAATTTTAAAGTATAATATGAATTATATCTTAGAATTTTAGTTTAAATTGTTGAATTGATTTTTTTAATATAATATTAGAACTGTGATAATTAATCATTCATAAATTTGAAGAATTTTATTGTCTTTATTTATTTGATAGATAAAATAAATTTATATAAATTTCAAATATAAAAAACTTTTATTTAAAAGGATATATTAAAATATAATATAAATAATATGATATCACTTTATCTAAGAAGTTAAGTTATTAGATTACCTAAGAAGAAGTTAAAGTTATTAGATTCATGTTATGTTTTTTTTTATTCGGAATTATGTAATCCTGTATGCGCAATAAAATTCTCAATTAGTCTATGCGAATGTTTTGCTTGTTTGATTATATGCAAATACACAGAGCATTTGCCTACAGCAGTGAATCTATGATATATTTACGGAACGGAGCAATTTTCTTCTTAGATAAGAATCTCAAGGTTTCTTCAATTCTCGTGAAGTCATGTGTATGAAACATGGATTATCACAAAGAAAAACACTGCTTCCTTCCTTTCTCCAAAACATGTCTGCGAGGGTTTTTCACTTAGATTTTCAGGAGACTAACTCAACATAACTAATAGTAATTTTTGACACTGCAATTTAAGAAAAGTAAAGAGTAAGAGTAGTGGTGAGAGAAGCACTGTGGGGAAATTTAGAGGGCTTCGGCGAGTCAATTTCTCTCCATCAGGAGCCATGGAAACAACCTGCATCTGCTTCTTCAATTTCTAGCTCCCAGAATAAACCAGTGGTCCAGCAACAAAGCAACCGCAAAATTGGCTTTTTGAACGAGAAGAAGACGACGACGACGCAACTGAAATTATTGTTCTCCTTGCAGATTTAGATGGCGCTGCCAGGGGTTTCGAAAACGGTAAGGTAATGAAGGTTAGAGAATTATATTTTAAAATTTTATTTGATTGTTTGAAGGTTAGAGAATTATATTTTAAAATTTTATTTGATTGTTTGAAGTTTTTTTGTTGAAATAATTAATTGAGATGTTATCAAAGTAAGTTTTATAAGTTTATATTTTATTTTTAAAAAAATCAAACATAAAGTAGTTTTCACTTGGGTTCAAATAATTGTTTTTTGACAAAAAATAAGAAAAATATTTAAAGATAAGCATTTGGATATAAAAATCTAATATGTGTCCGGCAATTACTAGTCTGGGTGGGGTAGGGTCAGGTTTTGTATAAGGTGGATGATATCCATATCTAATAAAGTATCCCACGTAAATCTAGTTTATTGATGAAAAACTCATACTCGAGTTAATTGTCAAGAATTAAAATTAACCATGCTAGAAAAATATATACATTATTATTAATATATATACTAAATAGCTTGCTTTAAATATTTTAAATTTAATTTCATCAAAGATATATCCATGAAGAATTTAACAATCTAGATAAAACTTACCTGAGACTTGAAAAGTCAAGGCATATGAAAAACATCTTAAAGGTAACGAAAACTTCAATTGACATGTATGAGCCACCCTAGCAACAAAGTGGAGAAAGAAAGATAGCCACAAAAGAAGTGCAGGAGGCTCTAGCTCAACAGTGAAAGAAGAGACTTGTTTTTATATATATATATATTAGGGTTGAAGTTTTATTATATATGCCTGTTATTTTTGTAGTGTTTTTTATATTTACTGGACTTATAAAATATTTAATAGACTTGAAAATTAATTATGGTATATATAAACTGGCTAAATATCTTGAGTTATTAAAAAAAAGAAAATAAAAAGATAGTTGAAGAAGAATTATCTTATTATTTAAACACTACTTCAGTCTTATTACTACTAGAGAGTCTTGAAAAGCATGTATCTTTACCAAATACAACTGTACCAGTGGAAGAAGAAAGATAGTCAAATTTAGTAGCTAGCAAGTCTAGGAGTTCACGTGAAAGAGTGTTGAGAAACCTTGTACATAGAAAAGATTAATATTTACGACTGTATTACCTGTGTCACTTGAGCTTCTCTCTTTATATTATAATATTGGTTTTCCTATAAATTATGGTCCAATATTGCTTAGCTAGCTAAACTTGTACCGAGATGAAAACATCTATCGTCGCATTTCTTCTCCTGCATACCATTTTGCACCATCCTCCCATTGTTGCTCGACAGCTAATTGAGTTTGGTGAGTGCATTTCTTTCCATTTGCTTCTGTTTACAGCATTCAAGTTCTTGCATTTGATGCGGTGGGCATGTTGATCATATTGCAGAAGGAAAAGGTGATGTCAGACATGAAATTACTAACGTTGAGGGCAATGATGGGAGCAATGGCAGGATTTGGATGCCTCCAACGAGACGCTGCTTTGGCGGAATCGGCCGTGGATGCGAGCTGCCACCCCCATCACCGGTGACTAATTGCAGACCCAACCAACGCTGCTATCCTCCACCAACAAATGATTAGTGCTGTGGTCTCGCAATGAAATTGTAATCAGCTGCTGGTGGAATCAATTTTGAAGTTTATCTAAAAAACTCATTTAGTTTTCCTAAGTGCTCCTAGAATGTATTAATATTATAATTATTCTAAGTCTTTTGAATTATCTAGTATAAATATATTTGTTGAAAGCGCTGTAATCTAAGTCCATGTCAATGGATTTCCTCTCTTGAAAAAGTAATATGACATGAATGGAATGTATTTTCATCTTATTTCCCTCAACATATCATGTCTTCCGAACATAATAGTATCAAACTTGGCTCGGTGCTTCTAAAGGATTAGATCATGTGTGTTTAGAAGGAAGAAGTCTCATGAATGAGCGGATAAACAAGTGAGATTCAAAGAGAAAAAAAATAGAGGTGCAAGATGATAGAACCTAACAAGAAAATTAGAAACTTATAGACTAAGTACAAGTTGACAACTCCTTGTATAAGAGATGGTATAGTACAATAAGAATCACTCATGAAGAATAGGATATACAAGAAGAAAAGAACTTTTAAACAAAAATAAGAAGGGGATATGGCCAAATAGCCATGATAAAGAATTTGGTAACAACAACCACATCTTATAAAAAAAAAATAACTTGAATGAGCCATGTTCAAGCAAAAATAATTGCTAAACAAAGAAGGATCAAGGAGATGGCAATGAGATGCTATTAGTCATGATAAAAAAAATGGCTAAGACAAAGTTGTAAGAAAAATCTTCTTAGGATGAAAGAACCTAGTTCATCAATCATGTAGAAGTGCTCAATGCATTAGACAATTTAAAAAGCATAATAATTAACTCATATAACCCTTTATTTATCTTAAAATCTATACTCTAATTATTCCCAGTCTGAATTTAAATATGATGTTATCCACTATTCAAGTCAATTTTTATTAAAATTATTATTTCATGTAATTGATCTAACATGTCATTAAACTTAGGAGTTGAAAACTTGTAATCCATTGTTATTTTGTTGATGGCATGATTACCTAGACACACACACACACCAATTGTAATATATCTTTGAAGTCAACAAAGTTGGTACTATACAAGAATTTATGTTTTCTTGAATTTGTCCCTTTCTTAGTAACGTTTCTATCTTTTCTGCAAATATTCAGAACTCATTTTATAATGCGGTAAAGTTGAAAGCATAGCTCATGTCAATAAATAAATTCAACATGAAATATACCTTATTCGTGGCAATCCATTCTGCAACTTTTCTACCATAAATTCTTCAAATTAAGTAAGTAAAGGTTTAACTACCTTGAAAATGTTTGTCATCTTTCTTTCTTACTTCTCATCCATTAGTACCTTCATAACTAAATGAGTGAACATGTTTAGTTTTCCACACATCTATTTGTATTGCTTGTTCTAAATTGGTTATGGTAAAGAAAGTCTTCCCCTTTACTTTTAAAGTTGTGGGTTAGGATCTTTTTTTCAAAGGTATATCCGTATAATTCAAATTATTTTTACTAATCTTATATAATTTTTTTTTCCAAGTCTCTAGCATTATATCATATTACCAAGGCCTACCAAATATTAGACTATATGCATTCATATATATTATATCATGGTATATTTATTCCTTATATTTTTCAAATTGAAAAAGACATTTTGCAATTTTATATCACCTTTGTTTCACTAATTGCTTTAATTCACCTTATCCAGTATGGTTCGAGGTTGAATCTAATAGCAAACTTAATTTTTAATAGTATGTTTTTCAATTATATTCTCACAACAATTACTATTAATAATCAAATCAAACAGGTTATTATTTATGATGCATTAAACACAAAATAACTTTTATCACTACAAATCCTCATTAACTTTTAGCATTAAGAATATCTTCCTAACCATTTATGTCTGACTTTCATCATCATATTTATACAAATCTTTCTCATCTACATTAAGCTTTTATAGCTCATCAATATCTATGAAATGTTTTTGCTTGTACTACCCTCAATCATGCATGCTGATCGATTTCCATCCCCTACAATCATTAGAATGACGTCTTAGTCCTCCATGTCTAAAGCACTTGCCCATCATTATTCTGACACACGGATTACTTGGCTTGTTCATTTCAGCTTGTCTTCTTGCAGCTTTGTCAGGTTTAGTGGCATCTTCTTTAGAAGGAGGTTGTTTCATCATTTATAATGCTTTTTCCTTATCTACAACACTAACTTTACAAAACTTGTTGTACATTCTCCTAAAAGGATCAAATTTGCTACTACTGCTAGTTTTTTTTAGTATCACCTCAACCTTTAATGTTATATTCCTTACCTTTGTGAGCATAAATAGCATATGTACTCCAATCTTGTCTTGAATTGTAGGTCTTTACCACTTTAAAAATATTATGACTTGTTATTCTTGTATTTCATATAAGTGGTTATGTTCTACTAGCCTTTAAAACTCAACACTATACTCATTAATAAATTTATTTTCTTAGGAACAATCATAATATCACTAAAATAAGTATTGTTTGTAATTAGGAGGAAGGAACTATTTAGAATATAATCAAGGTAAATATTAGTGATAATTCTTAATTAATAAAAAGAAGAGATCAAGGAATTGAACAAATCTAGACAATCAGGAAATTATTTCAATCATCTAATCAAAGGAGATGATCAAGCATATTTTCTATTATTTATTTTATAATATATCTTTATATGTCTTGTTATATGACTATATAAACTCTACATAAGTTGGGTGTAAGATACATATCAAATTATTGAATAATAACATCATCTTCGATTCTAAATTTCTCTATTATATCAAAGTAGGTTGACCATAGATTACTCTAAATATTGGCTTATGTTTTTTTAACGAGATGGATTTATATCGTTCATTTGACCATTTTAAAGCAATGTAAAATTCAACATTTATCAAATTCTGTAACACTTGCTTTTTGCTAAACTAAGACCCTAAAAAATACTAACCTTCCAACATTTTGTATTAGAAAAAAATATTCGCCATGTATTTTTATATTATAAATAATAAAATAAAAATGTAATAATCTTTACGTTAAACTAAAGTTTTATGACTTCTTCATCAAAACTTGTACTTTAGTAGTATCTAGAATAATTGATGACATAGTTTACACCTAAAAAAAATTTGAATTGGAAAACTATGTACTCTAAGTACATGTAAATCTCTCCCTAATTCCTTATATATTTGCTATGAATTTGTATATTACAAATAGTAAAAGGAAATTGTATTGATCTTTTCACTAAAGTGTACGTGAGTTTTTTTATATGTTTTTTTTTGGTATGCAAGTGAAAAAAATCAAGTTTTTAACATAGCTATTGAATTAACCTACTTATGATAGTACTAGATAGGTGGTTCAAGTTATGCTATGAGTAGTGTCAATTTTTTCCTAACATAAAAAAAGATGTTCAAATGACTCCAGCATTTTTAAAGAAGTAAGAAAAATCAAAGACTGAAGTTATTGACTTGACATGATTCAATAAACTCGATTAACTTAATAATATGATTTTCAAAAGGAGGTATGGATTATAAATAAAGTGATAAAAATATGGTAATAATTAACTATAAAAAAATAAGTTGTCACTATCATACTCAAAAAGAGATGAAAGAATAGCTCGTTAGAGAATCATCATCGCTCCACTATGGACACTTCTCCATCACTAGAAAGAACTCATTGAGATGATTCTAATGCCATTGTAACAGGCTGCACAATGACACTAAAAGAGGTTGCACATGCAGTCAGAGCCACAACTCGAAAGCAAAACATATAAAATATTATGAAGTGATCATTCCATGGTTATATTTAATCAATTAATTTAATTTAATTTAATTTAAAAAATATTAAAAAAGAGATAAACTTAACGAAGAACAATAAAAAAAACCCGAGATAACTCGGGTCATTGTTGAAATTAGTGAAACATTTTATAGAAAATAAATAAGAAAATAACAAAGCTCAATTTTCAATTAAATAAATATTGAAGGGTGAAACTTTAAAAAAAAAAGAGCTTTAAAAAAAAAACAAGCAAACACATGCAAATCTCCTAAACTTAGATTAATTTTCCAAACTCAAAATCTATGAAATTCTAGACCCGGTCTCAATTAAAAAGCTCAATTCTTAATCAATTTAATATTGAAAAATAAAAATAAAATCAATTTAGACTGAAATGTAATCGATATTTGATGTTGAAAGGTATGTTAGTTTTTGTCAAAACTTTTCGGTAAAGATACATTTTTAACCTCAAGGTCAACAAAATCTAGAGTTATTGACCAAGGATTTTTTTTCAACTTTTCATAAGCTTTTAAATAATAAAAAATACTTCTTTTCTCTAAGGGTCAAAAAAATATTGTGTTGTTGGCCAAGGGTGTTTTAGTTTTTCTTTTCATCATATATAGTTAAAATATGGAAGCCCTGGTTAAAATATCTTGAAATGTTAAAAAAAACATTAATCAAACTATAACAAATTGAAAATAATAATATAATATAAATTACAGTGAAATGACATGAAGCAAAAAAAGGAAAAGAAAATGAGTTAAAAAAGATCAAAGAAGAAAGGTTTATGTTCAAAAATACTAATTTTTCTAGTGTTGGAAACAATCGAAAATACCAATTTTTCCAGTGTTGAAAACAATCTATACCTTTAAGAAATAGCTACACCAATTTAATAAAATCATCGAACTATTTCTCAAAATTATCATACTAATTTTGTTATTATTTTTTTAAAACTAACAGGATGTAATCAAATGAGAATGAGAGTATTATCATTCCCTCTTCTTTCCTTTCACTTTGAAAAGTTAGAAAGTGATATTTGAAAGTTAAAAGAGAGGATTTTGAGAGAGAAAAACACATTTAATACTAAAAATCAAGAAAGATCAAAGAGAGGAAAGATTAAATTAAAGAGAGAAAGTTAGGATGGTGAAGGAAAAAGGACAAAACTTGAAGGATGTATGGGTAGCTAACTTGTAGAGTGTATATCATTGCTTGATAAAGTGTTTTAAACTTATATGATCAAGTTATCAAGAAATTTAAATTGATTGTTTGATTTAATTATCAATTCTTGAACTTAGGTTTTTATGAGTGAATTTGGGGATTTTATGAATTGGCTATGGGATAATGTTAGGAT